GAGCACCATCACCACCCCAACAGACGATCCACCACCACCACCTCCAACAAAAACAATACAACACCACGAACATAACTTCACCTCTATCAGCACCACCATCAAACTAGATCTGAACTTACCAACCCACCACACACTCTACGACTGGTCAAAAACCACACACCCACGCCGCCAATACCACAGCACTGCACCGCACTTACAACACACACACACACACACACCCACCACCACCACATCTGCAGTCAAACACCACATCCACTCCGTGGCTGCCATTCACAGCACACACACATACCCACTGGCTACACACACCCACTGAATGGAAACCGGCAGTAAATAAATTCTAGACAATTATTATATTAAATAAATTGACAACCGCCAATCTACTACCATAGTCCCACCATAAAAATCGCTTGCCGAATCTACAAGACGCCACCACCACATAAACCGCCCACCACACAAAACACGGTCGGATCTGCTTCTCAAATACCGCTTCTGCTTCATCGCACATTCATTTCACCGTCGCAACTCGAGGCAATTCCTTTCACCCCGCAAATAATTACTGGTTAAAATCTCCATTAACCAGATTATTACTACTACAGCCTCATCAGATCCACATACTGACACTCATTGCGAAGAGGCAAGCAACACCCAGATTTCGCAGAAGTCGCGACACCGACACTCATCACGAAGAGGCGAGCAACACCCAGATTTCAAGTAGCCGGTGCCAGTAGAGAGAAGGAAGGTAGAGAAAATTGAGAGAAGAAATCGGTGCCAGTAGAGAGAAATATAGTAGGGAGAGAGAATGGAAAGAAGAAACCGCTACCAGTAGAGAGGAGGTAGAGAAAATCAGAGTAGAGAGAGAACGGAGAGAAGAAAGTGAATTAGGGCATAGAATGGAATAGGGTAGCTAGATTAATTAATTTTTATATGTATTAATAAATTAATAAAATATCTAATTAATACCTGATTTTTGATTAAATACACATCACACCTGATTTTTGAATTTAAAAGTTTAAGTACCTGTTTTTATGTAATTTCCTCTTTACTCAATATAGGCCCACAATGTTAGTTGTGGACCATAAATTATGAAGCTACTGTTTTGGTCCACATTCCATACGAATAAAACGGAGTCAGGGGAGGACAACGTTTTCTTCCTTGTACTGAGCTAATACATAAAAGAAAAAAAATTCACGAAAAAACTAATTGGGCTTGGTTGCCTCGAGCTAAAGCCCAGGGCTGACCCTTATCTACGCCTCTACATATAATAGGATTCATTGCTCTCTTCGACTTACACCCATATGTGCTAAGGTCGAAATGCATTAGTGTTTTGTGATGAAATGAATGTATTAACTAAAATAAGCGAGATGAGATTTTATTGGTATGGCACCTCCTAAAAGTGCTTTTGTCAATTTTATTTTTCTATCATATTATCCAACTATTTTTAAAAAAAATTAAATTAGTCGTACATTCATTTTGTACAACAAGTTTGACATTTCTCGATGTGTCAAAATAATAGGTATACTGATTTGAAAATGTGTTATTCAAATCAATGGCTATGATTTTGACACATCATAAATGTCAAGTTTAATGTATAAAACGAAAAACAATGTTATTTGCAGACGTTCACTTCCAAAGTCGTCTTACGTGACATACATATGACGATTATTGATCCGATACATATCGTCACATG